AATAATAATAATAATAATGATAATAATAATAGTATCATTACTATTATATGATGTACTTTGTGATGTTGTAAGCGATGTGCTTTTCTTATAACAAAGCGTTTTAAATCTGAATGTCTTATTTTTGAAGCGGGTTTTACGTTTTTCCCTGTGTGAAAGCTGCATGTTGTAACATCTGCAGGCACACACACACACATATACGCACACACAAAACACACACACGCACACGCAAAGGTAGCCCCTCCGGTTACAAACTTTGGACCAATCAGAGCGCCGCTTTGAGTTCCTACGGCACGAGCGACACGAGTTTAACCCGGACCGCTTTCCGAAGAATCTATCCGCTTCAACCTGAAACTGACCATGATTTCTCCACTTCCGGTGACATTAATGACAGCCAACTGATTTGTCAGTGAGGGAAAAAACGTTTTCAAGTGATGTCAATGTTGGGTATGTACGTGCCAGACAGATTCTCCCTGAAATCGTCAAAGGTCCAGGATGGAATCGGTCTTTTCACGGCGAGGCGAGTGAAAAAGGTTTGTAGTTTCTGACTGGAACTGGTTTCACACCGAGTTGGAAGCGTTTAAACTTAGTTTTGGGAAGTTTTTGTAGCGCTGTRGATACGTTTTTACCCCCACTCGCCTTTTTCCCCCCTTAGAGTCGCTGTCAGTCTGAACCGAGATCCGTGACGCTCAGCTGCCACGTAGATATAACTGCAGAGTGGGTTTCTCCGAGTTCACTTCATATATGTCGACAAAGGAGGGAAACTCTGCTCCTGAATCCAGAATAATGTTCGATTAATCTGAACAAGTTCAACTCCTGACGTCATTTTTCCAAATTATAAAACTTGAATGCCCTTGTTTTACATATTTTCACACAGAGCAGCTGTATGGAGCTGTGAAATATAAAGTGGACTTCATGCATTTGAATTGAACTGGATATTTCCACCACGCCCCTTGTATGTTCACAGCTACATGTTACATAAAGCAGCAGGCATGACCTCTGTAATCATTCAACATCTGTCAACAGTGCAAAAAGCAGATTCTTGATCAAAGAAACTCGTTTTAAGCTGTAAAATAAAATGTAAAGAGGTCATGATGTACAATATATAACTGTGCAGACTGTATGAGTTTATTTAATCCTGTAGTTTTCCAGATATAATAAAATGCAGTTTTAACATGCAGATATGCACTCAGTGTAAACAAAACAGTTTGGCTGAATTTTCACAAACAAACAAACAAACATAAAAAACATGTTGAAGTTTACATAGTAACACGGAGTTAGATGGGTGTATAATTCAGAAAAGACATTTAATTGAAAACACTTTAACAAATCTGAGTGTAATTTTGTACTAAAACATCAAAATTGTTGGACTTCTCCTTACCAGACGGCTATTATTTATGCTATTATTTCCTTTTTTTCAGTCACATAGGTTTGTGTAGCTCAACAAATGCATGTAAGAAAAATAAATTGTCTGTATTCTGTAATGAGTTACTTACTATAATTTTGTGTTTTTATTATTCAAACAAAAAAGTAGGTTTAATCAAAAGAAAATTTAAATTAAAAAAAATTTCAGTCAAAAAATTATTTTAACGAATAATAATAATAATAATAATTCAATCAAAACGTTTTTTGCAAAGCAAACTTTTTTTTTCACATGCCAGAAATCTTGAATCTCAAACTATTGGTTGATACTCTGAAGTTTTTTGGTTGAACTCAAAAAAGTTTTGAACTCAGAACATGAACATCTGGGCCGGGGCCTAAAGAGAAACTATGTAATTCGTGTCTCTATTGCTTAGTGCAGTCCGTGTGATTTGGCTCAAATATCTGTCAGCCATAGCGCTAAGCTCTAACCCCTAATTTACACTACATGCGTTCCATCTCCGTTCCGCTGCGGTCCGACCTCCGCAGCAAATACACACCCATTATAATCAATGAGAGTGTTTACACTGGCTGCACACGGCGGCGGTGAACCGACGGCGATCCGTCAAAATTAGAACAGACCCTATTTTTGCCGGATGCCGGAGTCAATTTTTAAAGATTACGTTGCACTAACAGGAAGAGGAATGAGCACAACATCCATATTTTCAAAATAAGACACTATTTGGTGGAATAATTTGCCGGAATAATGTTGAAATTGCAGCTATGTTAATAAATATATGGATATATTTCTACACAAATGCTGTCAGMATGTATCATTCTGTTTGGGAAGCAGATGGAAACATTTAGCATGAAGCATATCTGTACACACACACACGATACACATGGATTTTATTTTGAAATCAGAAGTTTCAGAAAGCCGACAGCGAGACAGTTTCAACTTAGATATCAAATGCCTTTATATCGTTTTCAGCTGTGTTTGGAGTTTGTCTTTCACAGAAGTAATTATTTTTTGCTGTGACTTCCACACTTATCACTGAATTTATGGCGCGATCTCCTTCCTGCAYGTCTGTCGGACCGGAGTGGAGTGGAGGTAGTTTAAACTGGAATTGAAACGGTGCAGCTGYGACCTGCGCAGCAGAGCGGAGACGGAACGCAAGTAATGTAAATCCGGGGTAAGATCCGATCGGCTGCTTTAATAGTTGGATTTTGGTTTTAAGATATTCCCCTCTCACACGAAAATCTGAATCGCACCACAGAGATCAGCTGGTAAAGTTTGGAACATGTCTGAGCGGACCCGGACAACCCCACTGTGTGTCTGTTAGAACTGTTACCAATGTCTGAGGCGACCCTGGCCTGGTGCCTGGGTCTCCATGCTGCAGATCAAGTGCTTTCCCCGGTCAAAGGACAGTGAGTCAGGTCGGTCTTTGAGCTCCACGTCCCGGGAGAGGAGCCAAACCCACTGCRCCTGAATGCATATTATAAGGCAGTGGTTCCCAAACTTTTCAGCTTTTGACCCACAAAATGCCAGCAGCAGAGACCTGTGACCCCAGCTGTTGTTGGTTGATGAACATTGGTTTCACGTCAAACAAACAAGAGCATAGTAACATTATTTATTACTCTCTTTTTGTCCATTTTAAGTCCACTAACTTTACTCATTTGTAACAACAAAGGCAAAAAATTATTGATAGTTGTAATTTTTTTAGTGTAATTAATTCAGAAAATCTTTTCAGGACCCAACCTTGATGTTTCGGGACCCCAATGTGGGTCCCGACCCCAACTTTGGGAACCACTGTTATAAGGTATACAAATGATAAGTGTCGACCAACCTACTAGAAGGTAGAAGAGGGACAGTCTGGACACAATGTATAGGACTGAAAACTGCTCATAATATCCATTTAATGTATTGACAACATTTGATTTGAAGCCGGTGCACCAGGAACTCGCTTCAGTCTGCACTAACCAATTGGAACGCGTCTACATAGTTCCTCTTTAGGCCCCACCTCGGATGTTTATGTTCTCTGAGTTCAAAACGTTTATGAGTTCAACCAGAATTTTTGAGCATCAACCAAAACGAGATCCAACCAAAGATTTGTATTTGTGACATGCGAAAAAAAGTTTCCGTTTTGCAAAAAGCTTTTTGATTGATTGATTTTTTATTGAAATAGCTGTTTTGTATGGTAGACTTTTTTTATATTTTGGTTGCAACTATTTTTTTGATTGAAATTTTTTTGATTGAAACTACTTTTTTGTTTGATTGAATAGTAAAAAAAAAAGAAATTACCTTCATAGAAACTGTAAACTACATTAGATGTCACCCAGTTGTAATTTTGGCTACCATTATGTTGTATAAAAACACTGTTAATCCTGTTGTTTTCTTCCAAGGGAGAAAAGTTTGGCCCCTTTGCTGGTGAGAAAAAGCTGCCCAGTGAGTTGGATGAAAGCTTGGACAACAGGCTGATGTGGGAGGTGAACACACACACACACACGTCTCTAAGGTTTTACACATTTTAAGGCACACATTTAAAGTGACACTGAAAGAAAAAGTGTAATTGTAAATAAATCTGCCAGGCGTCTTTTAAAGCTGGTGTTGCCCATCGCACGTAATCACATCTTGAAAGGCAGCTTGATCAGATTTCAGCACACATAAAGCAGATCTCCATCTGCTTCTGCACATTTATGTTACTTTTGTAAAAATGTGAAGTGCGGATTGTGCTGCTTGACTATCTTATATAATAGTTGACATATATCTAGGATTTAAAGGGTTGGTTGTGAAATGATGCTTAGCTCCTGGGTTCAGGTGTGAGCTGCCCTCTGCAGGGGGTGGGTGCATATCCTGGACCTGGGGGGTATAGAGTATGTATGGGGAGTGTGACTGGATTGTGGCGTCCATCTTGTGTGTCTTTGAATGAGTGGGTGAGAGGATGAGGGTGGGACTGTGTGATTGTGTTTATGTATGCTTGTATTTTTGTCAGGCTGGGACTTGGGCAGCCCCTTCTTCGGGATCATTTGAGGGCCCATTACTCCCCTGCCGTGCTGTCCTCTGGTGGGTTGTGCCTTTGCCCGCCGGCGCACTGGTGGCTCTCGTTGTCCGGGGCTGGGTGCTTGGGCRTGTGCCGGCTCGGCCCGGTGGCTGCCCGGTGGGGCTTGGGTCCCTCTGGCCCCATCGGGCCTTGGCCTGGGGTGGGGTGCGCCGGGCCTCTGTGTCCATGCCTGGATCCACTCTGGCGCAGTGGGTACCGGCGGGGCCTGTGAGTTCGTCGCTGCTGGTCCCAGGGGTTGCTGTGTGTGGTCGCTGGTGGGGCTCTTCCGGTTCTCTCCGGTGGTCCTCTTTGGGGGGGGGGTGGGCGGCCCTTCCGGCGCGGGTGTCTCTGGGGCTGCGCGCTTGGGGTCCCTCTCGGGGTCTTTGGCGCTGGTCTCCCTTATGTCGGCTTCCGGCTTTGCGGGTCGGGTCTGTGGTCCCCCACAGTCACTTAGAGATATGCATTTTCACACAGAGATATGCATTTTTGTTGCTGTGGTTTTGCTATCTTTGTTTTTGTAAGTGTGGCGCCAAGAAGTCGGGTGTGCTGTCTTGGGTTTTCTCAACATATATTTCACATATCTTCTAATCTCTCTTTCACTCTTTCTCATTACATTTCACTTTTTTCTTTCTCTTTCTTTTTCTCCTATTAAAAAAAGGGAAAAAAAAAGCCACTGATGATGAAGCTAAGATTCTAATATTCTGATATTCAGTTCTGCTTTCTACTGAAGTGGCAAAAAAAAGAAAGAAATGACGCTTAGCTGCTACCACATCCCACTTTAGTTCAGTTTGCATTTTTGTCTAAGTAATACCGTTTTTGTGTTGCTGAGGTTGGTTGGCTGTAGCAGCTGTTTAGAATTGCATTGACTCCTAAAGTTAATCAGTTGTAGAAACACATCCAATGATAACTTTCTGAGTTTCATTAAAATCATTAATGTGCTAAGAAGACAGACAAATGAACACACACATACCCAAGCAACATTATCACWTTTTGCCTTCAGTGACAAGAGTAATTACAACTCATTTAAACGAACTCTTTCTCAAATGTTCTAATTGCATTATAGATATTAGTCTTCACAGTTTTGTGTACATAAGGTTCTTCCTGCTTTGTTGTTTTGTGTATTTTTTCTGTTCTGTCTAAAACACTTTGCATAATTTCTCCTAAAATTAGCAGACAACGCAGATTTTTTTCTTGATCTAATACAACAAAACACATTTTTTTGTTTTTACCAAACTGTTTTCATTGAAAGAACTGTTGAACGTTTTGTTGTCAAGTAAAAAAGCAAAACATTTTATTTAACACATGCTACATACTGTATATTGCATTACTGCATATGTATTTATACAGCAGCACTGAAACTAATCAGCCTAAAAACAGTAAAAATATAATGTGCTTCCCTTTGCTCAATACACAGTTCTATAGCTCACAATAGTCGTGTTTCCCTCAACGTTTCTTGATGCACATTTTAGAGTATTGCATCAGAAAAGGTGAATGGAAATGGCTTGATTTGAAAAAAATTCCTCTGATTCRTGTAAAAGCTGATACGCTCGCTTGAGGTGGTTTTAGTTTTTTTCGAAAAACACTAAATGCGCAAAATGACAGTCTGATCAGTTTTGAGTCTGGTGGTTTTGGCTCTGATGATCCTGTACCTTCTTCCAGATGGCAGGGGTTGAAACAGGAAGTGGCTGGGGTGGGTGGGGTCAGAGGAGATACTGACGGCTTTCTTCACACATCTCTTGTTGTAGAGGTCCTGCATGGGTGGGAGGGCAGCTGCAGTGATGAACTGAGCAGTCTTCACTACTCTCTGCAGAGCCTTGTGTTCAGCAGCAGTGGCACTACCATACCACACTGTGAGACAGCTGCTCAAAGACTCTCCACAGTGGACCTGTAGAAGTTGCAGAGTAGCTGCTGTGGCAGTTTAGCCCTCTTCAGACGATGGAGGAAGTGGAGGCGCTGTTGGGCTTTCCTGATAATGTGGGATGTATTCAGTGACCAGGTGAGATCCTCTGAGATATAAACATCGAGGAACCTGAAGCTGTCCACTCTCTCCGCTAATGTCCCCTCAATACTCAGGGGTTTGTGCGCTCTACTCCCTCGCCTGAAGTCCACAATYAGCTCCTTGGTTTTGCTGGTGTTGAGGGAGAGGTTGTTGGTGGTGCACCACTCTGCCAGGAGCTTCACTTCATTAGCTAGCGTAGCTAGCGCCAGCTTAGCGTCACTATGTGGAGGAATATAGACAGCCCATATATGGATTATGGTGAATTCCCGGGGGAGATAGAAGGGCCGGCATCTCACCACCATGTATTCCAAGTCAGGGGAGCAGAATCGCTCGACAACAGCTGAGTTGGTGCACCACCGATCGTTTACAAAMACACACAGTCCTCCASCCTTTGTKTTGAGTGATGCGTCAGTGYGGTCCRCGCGGTGCGCTGTTAGCCCCTGTAGCCTGATAGCAGAGTCCGGTATGCAATTATGGAGCCAAGATTCCGTGAAAATGAAAACACAGCAGTTCCTTGTTTGGTGATCTGAAATGAGCCTGAGTCTTAGTTCGTCCATTTTATTATCCAGTGATACGTCTGCTGCTGACCTTAGTTCGTCCATTTTATTATCCAGCGATCGGACATTAGCGAGCAGCAGCGTGGGGAGTGGTMTCCTAGCTAGCTTCGCTAGCCGCCCTCGGACACCCGCTCGCTTACCCCGCTTCTGTTTAYGTTCGCATGCCCGTCGTCTGCGTCTTCCGGTCGGATATGGCTCYGCATTAGCTTGCGGTGTTCTGGGTTGGAGAATATCCAGCGTGAAGTCGGCAACTGGTAGGCTGAAAGGTACATTTATACAGCACTTACAAATATCTAGCAGTGTTTTTCTATCATAGACTATGCTATATTTGCCCATCTTGGACAGATASTGTGTAAAACACATGCAATAAAATGCGAATATTAAACAAATTAAAAAAAAGTAATAAAAAGAAAGAAAAACTGCACGTTAGTGGGAGAGGTAGCCAGCTGCTGCCGTCTCCAGCGCCGCCATAGTAACAGCAAAAAAGGGTGCAGAGTGAAGTTAAAAAAAATCTTATCATATTTGCCCCTTATTTTCAAAAATCAACTTCAACACACAAACAAGCTCAAGCTGGAAATAACTCCAAATTAAAAAAATAAGTAAATAAAACAAAATAATAAAACATTTTATTATTTTATCCTAAATAACTAATATGTCTAATTTAGTCAAAAAACTATTTCAGATAACTAGAATATGTGTGGTGAAGCCAAATAACTGTTATATCTGCCTTCCATACATGCTGAATTGACCCCGCTGGTGCTGCGCTCTCATCTTCATCATCATATTCATCAGAGCAGAAGCCGACATTAGCAAGATGGATTTATGACCGAACAAACGTCCACATATTTTTTCTTCTCTGTGGGTAGCAATACATAAAAAACATTAAAATTTTCTCCAAAAGCACGGGTGTGAAAAAAACTACGGTTGTTAAACCTTCTCTCTGCGCGACGTGCAGCAGGAAGGAGGAGGAACTTGTGATCCCGCGACAAGACGGCAAGAAGTAACTTTTCGACAGCGGGAGGGGGAAATTTTGAGGATTTTTTTCTCGCTTTACGTGTTTAAAAACGCCATATTTCTTCATTTATTTTCAGAATATTTCAAATAAATGGCCCTACAAAAAATAAAAGAAATTGTTTACCTGCCCGGTCGAGCAGGCATCGCGACACACCCACCTGCCTTGACAATGGGTTTTACCTGCCCCGGGCAGTCGGGCAATAGGATTTGTCGAACCCTGCCTGTGAGTTTGGGATTGTTGCTACTGGTCATTCAGTCCCTGTGGGAGAGTCTGGTTTGTGTTGCAGGCAGTAAGTTGGATCCCTTCAAGATGAGAGTGGAACTCTGACCATTTTTTGTATCATTGTTCTGCGATCTCTGGGTCTCACTGGAGCAGTTCACAGTCAGGTGTGAAGCGGCTAGGATGAGGATCAGCGCCTCCAAATCTGAGACCATCGTCCTCAGTCTGCCCTCTCTGGGTTGGGAGTAAGGTGCTGCCTCAAGTGGAGAAGTATATAAGTATCTTGGGATTTTTGTTCATGAGTAAGGAAAGAATAGAGTGTAAGATTGACAGACAAACTGATGTGGCGYATGCAGTATTGCATACGCTATGTTGGTCTTTTGGGGGTGAAGAGAGAGCTGAGCTACAATTGGTTTTCCTCATAGCGTAGCTAGGCGCTTCCTTAGAAATTGGATATGTAATTCAGTTATCTGGGATAAACTCAGAGTAAAGCTGCTGCTTCTCCACATTTTATAGGAAAATAAGGCTAATTCTGTTTTATGACCACTCTTACAGCCCTTACAGCATTTTTATAAAAAAAAAAATTGAAAAACTCCTTCAGCATGAAGGAAATTATCCTAATGTTTTAATAATTTCCAATTAGTTTTTATGCAATT